AAATACTAGCAATCTCCTTCTTCTTCATTCGCTCGCTGGGCCGCGGCGTGCTTGGCCTTGGCCCAATAATACTTGTACAGCTTCATGCATTCCACGATAAATTATTCCACCACTTTCGTATCAATGTATTGAGCTGCGTAGACCCTGGTCGTTGTACGTAGCGATTTGGCTCCCAAGCGTTAGAAGAGGTACGCTTCGATGCGAGGGTATACTGTATTATAGCAACAGGCACAATGGTCGCTGGGCGGAAGTTGCGCGTTAACTTGCCCGCGTGCCTCTTTTTGCGGTGGACTGTGCTGGTGATAGGACAACCTGCCCCATAATGGTTTACACTACGCGCATGCTCGCAGCACACGGACGTGCCTTGAAGGCCACACGATGGACTAAATAGCTCGTTTCAACGCATCTAGTTATACTTTTCTATTTCCTTCGAGCAAGACAGCTCCGAGGGTAGAACTACAATTGTATGTAGGTGACGGCGCAACGACACATTGTGAACAGATGTCTGTTGGAAGTTCCAACAAACATCTGTTCGTCCAACTTGAAGGAACAGTTGGCCGTTATAAGCACCAACAACGCACACGTCTCTGCATGGCGGTCCCTCGCGATAGAATGGCCGTAGGATCAGCATTACTGATTCCAAGCACCCTCGCGCGGCTCGGTCTCGCTTTCGATGCGGCGCATTGCGGTGGCAGCATCGACTGATCGTTCGGTTCGAAGGGGTGGAGACGAGGGGCTGTTGATGCTGTTGCTGCTGTTGCTGGTGAGCCGGCTCGAGGTTACTACTCGTGTACTCGATCTCAGCTTGAGATCAAGGTCACGAGCCGAACTGCGTCGCGGTATGCTGAGTGCGCCGTGAGTACACACGACTGGAATCTTGGGCCTTTTTGCAGGACATTGTGAGATGAATGCGAAGTGCCATGACGTCCGCCACATATACACATATAGACGTGATATGCAGTAGACATATGTCGATCAAAATTGCGTGTGCTCGCGGTGCTCGACTGGAATCTTGGGCCTCCTTTGCGGGACATTGTGATCCATGCGATGTGCACTGAATATACACCTGGCAGCTGCACTAGACGTATGTTGGCTGCCAATCAAGAATTTCGCACACGCTGTTCTCGACTGGGTATAAAATACAGCCAGAATTAGCGATGCATCACCAAGTTTTGCACGTCTCGAGCTGCGCCCCATAACTCAACTGTCCAATCTCCCATCCTGCAATCCACTCGCATTCGATAAACTTTATCGAATGCGAGTTCGGTAAAGTTTATCGAATGCGAGTGGATTGCAGGATGGCGAGTATTATTACCGGTCTGCATCAAACACTGGCGCAATATGTACGACGTCCGTTTCTCCACTTGCATTGCCCATCATCGTGTTGGGGTGCGGTGGCGCGAGCACTGTTGGTGACAGCCGACTTAGAATCAATTCGTCATTCTTCAATTTGATCGACGATGCGCCTACCTCTCTTGTCGCTTGCTCTCGCAACAATGGTCGCGGCCGACCCCAAGTGGTGTGGTGACGTGTCGCCACCCACGGATGCGCCTACGATGGTCCCAACGATTGTGCCAACTGCCGCCCCGACTGCCGCCCCGACGGCTCCACCAACCGACGCGCCAACTAACGCGCCGACTGCAGCCCCCACCAACTCGCCGACAGACGCGCCTACTAGTGCACCGACTAACGCGCCGACTGCAGCCCCCACCAACTCGCCGACGGACGCGCCTACTAGTGC